TAAACTTCTACCAGACTACACAGAGCTGCATCGGTCTTAAAACTATGCCCTTGGTCACGTAAGTGGAGTTTGTGTCATGCCCACAACTATTATAGTTAAGCGACGCTCGGCTAGAAGACTAATTTCTGGTGTACTCACCCGATTTGGGACCATGTGACCTTCGTGTTCCCAAAGCAAACGACATCCTTGGAAAAGTCAGATTCTAGTAAGACATTCAGAGCAACGTGATGACGGAAAAGGAAGAATTTTCAAAAAATGAAATCTGCACGCTCAGAGTAAGAAATCGTACACATCGGCCCAATTATTAGTCAGACCTCGTAAAACAGAAGAAATATTGACCAATTCACAAATTAACAATCAGACCAGTAGTTATTCATACAAATACAGGGTGGTCAAAAAGTCACGCAACCCATTCCTCGCGAACAGGTCAACAACGTGTCGTGACCTGCGTGTGGTCTTTTATATTTATCATCAACCCCGATCGATTTGTACTGAATTGCAAACCGTCAATAAATATTTATAATACGCGTTGCGTGTCTTTTTGATCATCCTGTATGTGCCGAGACGGGCCAGAATTTTTGTTTCCAGAGGTGCAGCAGGAAATCCACTACCGCAACCCGACGCCACGTACAGAAAAACGACGCCTGCCAAGTGTACAACAACCAGTAGGATACATCGAGTTGAGGTTAAGGGAGTACCAACAACATTTCAGAACAGTTTAAAATTCCACTGAATTCTCTCTTCATAACACCAACTCTCTCTCTCTGTCTCTGTTAAGTTATGACGTTATAATTTTACAATTGGATAGTTGACAGAACTCGGAGCAGGTTACCGGGTAGGCCAATCTTTAGAAACCCTGAGACATCCCCCCCCTCCCCAAATCCACTGACATTCACACGCACGCACCTCAGAAGTCAGGGCTGGAGTCCAGCAGCCTTTTCTCCGGCGTGACGTCGGAGATCCTAGGGTCCCTGCGCGGCTCGCAGCGACAACCCTTGTTACTGTACCCCACGTAACACTTTTCGCACAAACCCACACACCCCTTGAGGGGCCAGTAGCACCAGAGACAGGGCAGGACGAGCGACACGGCCGCGAGGCAACCCCATCTCGCGAGACAGCGGCGGGGACCGCAGGAGCACGGGTCATCGGCACACGACGCCGAGCCGTCGTCGTGGTCCAGTTCGTAGTCCTTGGAACAGTGATAGAAAAAGCCTTTGACGCAGCACAGACACGAGGCGTAGTCGAGACTCGTCTCTGCGGAACAGAAGCACGCATTGTTACACAGCCATCGAGACGGCAGGGGCCTCGGATTGCGACACGAGTTGCACCGACACCGTTCGCACTCGGGGCAGACGATCGAGCCTCGGAAGCAGTTGCCCGCACTCGTCCCTGCGTCAGCGGGCGCGCTGACACCGGAACTACTACTGCCCGGAGCATCTTTCTTGACGGAGGCCGCGGCGGCCACTCCGGGCTGCTTCGTCACGGGCAGGTGCAGCGGGTGGTGGTGTGGCGTGTCGAGGGGACGTTCCTCGCTCACCCGATCACCCAAGTTCTTCTCTGACTGCTCGCTCGCAGGGCGGAACGGCGTCTCCACATACTCGTTTACAGT